CCCCGGCCCCTGCACAATCAGCACCCGCCGACCCCGATCTCGGTCCTCCAGTCCCCCCAGCCTCCTGCTGCCCAGTCCCACTGCGCGCCCTTGCATGCGCCCAGCCCTCGCACCTGCGTGGGGTAGTTCTTGACGCACGCCCGCGGGCTGGCCGTGGCCACCGCGTGCGCCTTCTCGTCGGGGATCTGCGGGATGGAGGTGCACGCGCCGCTCGCGTCCCAGCGCCAGCCGTGGTAGGTGCACTGCAGCTGCCCCGACTCATGGATTCGGCCCTCCGAAAGCGGCGCCAGCCTGGGGTCGGCGGACGGCGGGTGCGGCGGCAAGTCGGTGCGCGCGGTTGGCGAGCGTCGCATTACAGAGTAACCGGTGCGCACTAGTCGCGCCTGCCAAGCATGAAGCAGTGACACGGGCACAAGTATATCGTGATAGGGAGGATGTGCTATCCTGCAGGCCATTTGTTGAAATCAACAGCGTATGTAGGGCGGGTGGGCCTCACACCTGCTGACGCCCAGGGTGCTGAGAAACGCCGCCTGCAAAGCACCGCATTGAGGTGAAAAAGAACTGCCCTCCTGCCCAGCACCCCAGCCCTGCCGCTGCCAGCTATCAACACTCATCAAAACTCCGCGCACCTGTGGGGGCACAGGTCCTCGAAGCAGCGCCACTGGCCGTCCTTGTCCAGCCACACCACTAGGCGGCTGCCCAGCAGCTGCACGGCGTTGGGGGCCTTGGGGTCCAGGTACTCCAGGGCGGCTACAGCGTACCTGTGTGTGTGTGTGAGTGTGTGTGCGTGTGTGTGTGTGCGTGCGTGCGTGCGTGTGCGTGCGTGTGTGTATGCAAATGTTGCGGTGTGTGTGTTTGTTTGTGCACATGTGTGCGTGCGTGCGTGCGTGCGCGCGCTCGCTCGCACGCACGCCTGTGCGCAGGTGAGTGCTTGCAACGTGCCCTCTTGCGTGCGTGTGTAGGCACCCGAGTAATGGGCGCATGTGCTTTTAGACGTGTGATTTGAATTGTGCAGTGACGGCGTCTCAAAGCCTGTCGTGCTGCGCATTTCCAAGGTTTTGGTGGGTGGAGCAGGGGTGGAGCGGCTGCCAGGGACATAAACGAAACCAACAGGAAGCCAGCGGGTTGAAAAGACGCACATCCTGCAACGCGGAAGGCGGGCCTGCTGCCAATTCCAGTTGCGGCGTGTGTGTGCCCATGCAATGACTCACCAGGAACGGGTCCAGTCGAAGAGGTCCGGGCCCGGCTGAGCCGCCTCAGCGGTCACAGCGCGTGGCGCAGCCGGGTCAACTTTGACATCGCTTGCGCCTCCGCCATGTGGGACAGCCGCGGAGGTGGGAGCATCAACTGCGAGCGTGTGTGTGGATGTGGTGAGGGACGCATTGGTGCGCGGCAAGGGGTGTGCAATGGCGCTCGGCCCCGCGAGCAAGGCAGCGGCGCTACCACGTCAACGCACACGGCGGCACACCTGCCGCAGCTTCAGTGGGCACGGTCTTCAGCACGCGACCACAATTGCGCCTCGAGAAGCAAGGCACCCTAGTGCGATGGCGCCCGTAGAGCCCCACGGGAGCTTGATGGCCCAGTTGCATTTTGTTTGATCACTCGCACAGATGCAATTGCAATTACAAGATGAAGATGAGGAATTGACTTCTCAAAAACTGTGTATTATACGGTATGGAGCGGTGTAACCGCTCTTCGGCACCCGGGCACGAAGCGATCACGACGCGGTGTCGACGGCCAAATACGCAGGGCACAGCATCGTCAAGCACTAGTCAACTGCAGCTCAGCTTGTGCTGCGGGGGGCTGGTGTGTGTACGTGCGCACTGGTTGTCGGCGGGTGCCCGCAACCGACCTGGAGGCTGCACCGCAGAGCATCCTGGGTTGCGCTTACGGGCTGCTCGCCATGCTGCTCGACAGATAACATGCCCGCCACGTTTTAGGATTGTGTGCGGTACGTAGCAGCGGAACTGCAGGTCAAAGCCAACTGGTCTTTTGGAAACGATGTGTTTGATCCGTGTGTGTTACGCGGAGCTCCAACCTACTCAGCCGCCACCGCCACTGCCTCGAGCCCGCTTCTGCTGGCCTCCTCCTGGTCGCTGCCAACCAACTCCTTCCCGACGATGCTGCTGCTGCTGCTGCTGCTGCTGCTGCTGCTGCTGACGCTAAGCGCCGGCGCCGGCGCCGCTGCTGCATCAATCTTGCCCGCAGACTCTGCGGCCAGCCCAGTGTAGTCCACCAGAGGGCCGATCTGCAGATTTAGAGATGCATAGGATGGGCAAATTATTTCAGGCGATTTCACAAATGAAGCTTTGAGTACACATAGCTTGTTGCCTACCAGCCAGGGTCAGCAAAGGGGGCCACCACGAACAGGCTGAAACGAGTGCGGGTGGCTGGTGTCACTCCGCTGCTGCGCCCCAGGCAAGGGGGCTGCGGCGCGGCGCCCAGCAGCACAGTGATGAAGCAGCCGCACCTTTTGCGGCGGCCAGTATTTCCAGACCGCGCGCGCCACGATGTTCTCTGTCGGCAGGGGGCCCCACACGTGCGAGTCGTAGCTGTTGTTGCGGTTGTCGCCCATAACAAAAATCTGCAGGCGACGTCGATAGGTTTAAGGTCACTTTAATTACGGACTGCTTCTTGAACCAAGCGATCCGGGTGCGCCCATGAAGCTGGATTAACAGTCGAGGCCACCGCGGTCGTGTTGCATTCAGCAGCCCCTCGCGCACCCTCCCCAAGGTGCACGGGAGCCGGGCCCCCTCCCGCAGTGACCGTGCGAGCGGCTGGCAGGGCCGGCTTTAACCGTCAGAGGCGAACGCCGCCGGGCGCTGCGTGTGCGCATAATATATACCGCGGCCCGCCAAGCGCGCCCGCGCCGGCGCCAGGCCCCGGCCCAGCGCGGCGGCCGCGCTCACGTCGCCAGGCGGCACCACCAGGCGGTTCAGGACGTAGGCCGGCTTCTCGTTGATGAAGGGCTCCACGCGCGCGTTGCCGTTGACGTACAGGGTGCCGTTCTTGACCTGGTTTGACCAGACGAGCAGTTTGAGGGGGAGGTGGGCCGGGTAAGGTGCGTGAACATCAGTGGGGTGCAACGGGGCGGTCCACAGATGAACTTGTGCTTGAACAAACACTGCCACATGCATCTGCATGCTGGCACTGAGATCCTACCCTCACAATCGCATTACGCGCGTGCAGGCATGCGCGTGGAGACGAGCATGCCTGCACTCATGCAAACATGCCTGCCCAAGCCACACGCGCGCCACGCCCCCCCCCCTCCACCCACCTCCACCGTGTCCCCCTCCACCGCCACCACCCTCTTGATGAAGACGTCGTCCCCAAATATGCTCCTGTTGCCGACGCCCGCGACGGGGTGGAAGATGATGACGTCACCGGGGATGGGCGGCCTGGCGGGAGTTTGGGAAGCGGCGGCGAGGCGACGCGGGAGGGGGGCGGTTGGCACAACTGAGAGGGCGTGGGCGATCCGTAGGAAATTGCAGGGGTCCGCCTGATCGCGGTGAAGCGGGTTCGCAAAGCAGCTTTCCGCTTCACAGCCGGCGCTCGGCTGCGATATTCCGTGCGCGGCAGCGGCTGGCCGCCACGCCCCTCCCCCATCCCTCCCCCAGGCACCACAGGCCCGCTTCTCCATTTCCATGCCACCTCCCTCAACCCCCCCCCCCCCCCC